ACTTAGAATTTTGGAATCTGGTAGATGCTCATTACTCTGTCCATTGGATTATACAACTCTCTACTCCTAAATATAGTTTATACTGAAGTTTTTAGTCTGAGTATGTTTAAGGAAGTATAGGTAGTCCTTGTATGAAAGGAAGTATAGGTACCCCTTGATTTATGACCACAATTGGAATCAGGATTTCCATTGTTAAGCAAGGCAGTTACACCCCATTTTACAGCAATTATTTTGCCATGGTTATTAAGCGAATCACTGCAGTTTTTAAATGAACCATGTAGTCATTAAGCGAATCTGGTTTTCCTGATTGACTTTCCGGCTGGAAAGATTGCAACATGACTTCAGGATGCTACAACCATCGTAAATACAAGCTGGTCAGTAAGTGCCTGAATCACAATCACATGACCGTGGGATGCTGTGATGGTCATAAGTGTGAGGACCTGTGATTAGTCACATTTTTCAGTGCCATTGTAACTTCAATTGGTTGCTAAACAAATGGTTGTACATCAAGGACTTCTAACTGTTCTGTAAGAACAGAAAAGGAATGACAAAACAAAATACCCCCCTCAATACCCAAATCAATGTTAAACTTGCAGTATAAATTATTTATAATCCTTTTTTTCCCCTCGAACTATGAGTAGCTTCAGCATATTCTACGGACCTTTCAGCATTAGAAAGAGGCTAGAAGAAATGCAGGAAAATATAACATATGTGAAATAGTCTGGAAGAAATATGGGAACAAGGATTTGTTTAATTTGCATGTATGAGGAAGAGAAAGAGACAATAAATTTGAGGGTGTTATCTGGTACTGCACACTTTCCAGAAGAACAATGATAAAAACATCGGTTTCAAATGTACTGTTTGTCCTATAAAGGGCAAAACACATTCTGAGCTACACTGAAACTTTTATTGGTTTTCTCTGTGCCCTGAAAACTCCCGTGTTGAGATCAACAGGAGCTCCGTCTTCTGACTTCTCCGCTTACATCAATTCCCATTGTCATGGAAGTAGGTGTTCTGAGCACATGAAAAGACAATATACAGCAGAGAGCTACTGTGTAGATAATAGAGGAAAATTTTGCCCTAAATTTTTAAACACAATCTTTTTTGTGAAAAGAAACACTCTTAAAACAAAACCTCCAACCGTTCATAACTGGGATTAATGGTTGCAATTTTCAGTTCTTAGACATGGGGTCTCCATAGACAGTCCCCCCTCCTAGAATATAATGTGGTTCTCTGTGGGATTAAAGATTATTCCTTACCTCATCTCTTCCCTTCAATCTTTCACCTTTTTGTCTCATAAAGTTATAACTGGTATGAACAGGAAGCTTTTCTCCCTAATCAAGTGTTTCTTTCTGGATTGTTCATGCCTTAGAATGCAAAGAATTTACATATACATCATTAATATTAGGACACTGTTCCCAAGATGTATAAACTGAGTGTGACTTGGATCCAAGGTGCAAACAGAAGCAAAAAGAATATTTATAAACTTTGCTGCCTCCATTTCCCACAGTGGCCTCCATCCCAAGTTTTCCATTTTATACAGTCCTTAAAGCATCCAGATCAATTTCTGGAAAGATTTAAAGAATTTTAACGGGAAAGAGGAGCTCTAATCTCATTTGTGCATTTTCAGGATCCATACTCATCTTTATGTTTTGCCTTGCTCAGTGATTTTTCTCCATCATTTTTCCTTGAATTTAAATCAGGGCATCTCTTAGCTCCTGAGAATGCTTTTGTGCAATAGGCTATATCAGCTGTGGGACCCCAAAACAGAGCTTAGTGAAGAATAATTCCATAGTTTATTTTCCATCTACCACATTAGTGCCTTTGTGTGTTTTTTCTTTAATTAAAAAAATTATTGAAGTTTGAGTCCTGAGCACACATGAAATGCTACTTTCAATTGTGTCACATAGTGCTGTGTGGCTTTTCTAATCCTTAAACTGGCCACATGTGAATCCAAGATTTTAAAAAATGGAGGTAAGAGGACTCATTAAAACACATAGGCAATGATCCAGCATTACAGTTCTCTTCTATTGTTGATTATGATAGAAGAAAAGAGCCTCATGTGTGCAGTGTTGTTCTATGCTGGAAGTTGAGCCTCGGGTAGAGCTCTAGATAGCAGCTACAGACTTTCTGAAGAATGGATATTGTCCATTGGGATAATTAAGTATCAGCAATGCTCTTGCAGCAGTAAAACTCGTGTGTCTTTTATTTAGACAGTACAGCAGATTTATAGATAGATGTTTCAGGTAAAAAGAATCTGGAAAGGTATGTAGTTGTTTAAGCTGTTCCTTTGCTGAAACTCATTTAATTGCCCCGGAAAAAGTGTTAAACTGATCCATTCTACTGCTGCTTGAAGGTTCCATTTTCTTTCCATTCCCTCTTGCTGAAACAACCCAACATGCACTTTAATTGAGTCATGAGAGAGTAAGGGGTTGCACTTGGATATACATCAGAATTTTCATTCCTTGAAAAGAGAATACAGTGCAAATGAAGGTACTGGGTTTAAATCCATACTCATCTGCTTGTTCCTAGTTAACTAGAATACATCAGATTTTTTTTAATGTTAAGAATGCAAATTACCAACATCAATACATTAAGCAGGAAGTACAGAACCCACTACCAGGCTGATTGGGAAATGTCCCACATTATATTCATTCAGTTTGAAGACAATGAAAAATAGAATTTGTTTAACAATCGCTGCAATTACCACTAAGCAAATTGATAGGTTGTTATATAGTCCTTCGGTGCTGCTATGGCCTGATCATACCTAAAAAGGGAACCCTGATTGGTTTGGGTCAGGCAATGAAGAAGAAAACCCTCTGGCTTTAAACCGTTGTAAAAATAATGATCAGCTTAAAATACGGACAGGTTTCATATTTTTTTGTACTCTTTCCCACTCTAAAAAACAATGCATCAAATACTTTCCTTTCCTTGCTCATTTGTTTACCCTCCCCCCTTCAGATATCACTAGAATTTGGCTGTTTTAACAAACAATTGGAAAATAGAACCATAAAAATTATCTGCAGTTTTGATGTCATCCATATAGATACATACCAGAGGTATGGTATGGTTCATAAATGTGAGCATGTGTGCCACCTCTGCGCATGCACAGTAGTCGCATATTATGTCCAGGCAGGTGGGCGGAGCCTCCCGCAGTCACCGCTACCAGGTTGTGCAATCCAGACAGAACTGCTGAATCTCACCACTGATACATACACATACACATACACATACTCACTCACACACCCACCACAGTCATTTGATTAACATTTGACAACTGGATCACAATTACGATGTTGCAGCATCCTGAGGTTATATGATCGCTATTTGGGACCTTTACTGCTGGCTTCCAACAAGCAGAGTTTATCGGGAAACCAGCAGAAGGTTGCAAATGGTGATCATATGACCTTGGGATGCTGTGACTGTGCAGAATTCATCTAACAACTTCAACAGGAATTGCCAGAACTACCATTTATGAGTCAGTGCAGTTAGGTGACATACACCTTATGACCACATTGCTTTGCAAAAGAGTTCCTAGTCCCAATTACTGTTGGTAAATCAGGGATTACCCATAGGGTAATCTATAGTCTATAGGAAGTCCTATAGACACAAATTTTGTCATGCGTATGATATATGCCACGGGTGTCAAACTTACATTGAAGCAGAAGCTTTAAACTGATGATACATGCTTTTGAAGTGCATCTTCTAATATGATTCCAGGCACATTGAAATGTGCATATTTTAAAGTTCTAGCTTGATTTTATGTATCAGTCCTGAGATATTTCAGTATTTAAATAAATATGATTATATAGAAGTGGAATCTGTCCTAATCAAGCAGTATATCTATCATATAAAGCCACCTTACAAGTTTTATCACATGGATGACACAGGCACACAGTTTGCTTGTAAACAGTCTAAACACCTGAAAGAGTGTCTTCTTGGATATAATTGTGCTTTATTGCACAAATTACAAGGGCAATACTGTGTCATGTTATCCATAAAGCTATATGACACAGTTTGTGTATTAACTTTTAATAATCTATTATATCTCAATAGGTTAGTTGGATCAGGTTTGATTTTCTAATTTCTAAGTTATCTCAATTTAAAATTATATATTAAATATAATAGCCGTGTTTTTAAGGCCTTATTCTATCACTGATTTTTCACTAATTTTGAAATAAATTAATGTAGAAAATAGTACTGTATACATGAAATCAAATAAATGATGAAATATTTCATTTTTAACTGTATTGAATATTATTTCTCGTAACCAGAAGCCTTATATTGCCTAGTACATTATGAGGTTTAGTATTTGCTTAGAATTTTCTGCCATGATGGGATATAATTCCTATTAAATGAATCTAGGAATGTAGTCATGGTTTATTGGCTACTTTTAGAAATATAGTTATTTATTTCTTTATTTCCATGGTTTATACAGCTGCCCAATCCATGACAGTGACTCTGGACAGCATACATGGATTAAAACATTAGCTATATTGAAGAGTTCATGTGTCTGTGGAGCCACAACCAATTTAGCTCTTCTTTGGAACTCTTACTAGACTTTCATCCATCTTTCTGAATACATTCCTATCTACTATATAAGGTGTCACATGCATGACAAGCTGTATTCTGAAATTATATTGAAATTTATCATCAGCCAGTCTTTTACAATAGATCAGTGAAGCTGGAGGCTACACCTTCAGCACCATATAAGCAAGATCTGCTTATACTTTCTAATGTACAATTTAGCCAATTCCATATTCTTTATTACAGGTTAAATGTGGCATTACAGGTTAAATTTATAAATGGGTATTCAGCCAAGTATAGGCCTAGAGTATAGCTACATAAATACATTGTTTTATAAAACTTGCTTGGTATTTTGCACAGTACATACCATTTAACAGGGTTTTTACTATCTTACATTACACGATCTTTCTGTAGCATTGCTGGTATATTTCAGCATAGTGATTGCTTTTACTTTCCTTCTTCTTTCTTCACAGAATCATACGATGACCCAACATAGCAGTTAGTGCAAGGCCCAGTTCTTCAGAAGAAGAATCTTTGCAGGACAAAAAAAAAAGGGAACATGTTTTACTCTTTGCACGAGACTCTCATTGTTAATATATATTATTCAGAAACATTGTATTGTACCATAAAACCTGTATTATGGAAACTGTTGGATGTTCATGTGTTTGAACTTTTGAGCACCGGAGAGACTTCCTGTATATAAAGTGTTGCACATGTATTATGTTGTCTGATACTAAAATGGTCTTATAAAGACAAGTGGACTTGGGCCCTATTCAAGCAGGACTAAGAGAATAATTATAATACCAACAACATATAAAAGGGAAATATGGCTTAAGGAAAAACAAAAAAGCGGTGATACAGTACAAACCTTTTGGCCTTCCTTTTGTTCAAGCTTATGTCTACAATCTCTGTCTTTTGGTATTCAAATGGATGAATTCAAGAATATTTTTAGTGCCGAAGAAGACGAACAAGAACAAGAAGAAGACTCTCCAAGCAGGACCCCAGCTGAATATGGCCTGTATATATTTGTAAGCCTTGCGATATGACAGATAGCATTACCATATATGCAATAGTTGTTATGTAGATTGTCAAAGAAACTTTTTTCCTGGATACCATTTGAAGCTTTTGAGTGTTCAAGACTTTTCCTTAATGATGTCACATGGCCAAATTTTTGAATCAGTTGAACTAACCTGTATGTTACTGTTATTAATGTTTACTCTGCAGTCTGAACCTGGAGATTACTGGAATGGTTTTCCAAGAAGAAATAAATTCAGTTTACCATTACATAATATGCATCTTTTCTTTTGTCCCAGATTATTTTATTTATTTAAAAAAGTTCCTCTTTGCAAATGAATTGTGTCTCATAACTTTCATTGTCAACGTCACATATTCTCTCATCACACATGCATGATAAATGTATTCTAATTGATGTACTTCAATCAATACTTTATTATTTTAGATATATGTTAACTCTATATTCTTTTACCCTATGTAACGACCCTTTTTTTCTCTTTTTGAGAAATACAAGGACTTACTGTAGAGTTAGTGCGTGAGCATCTGGCTTGCAAGCATTCAGCACTCAATGATGTGCAAACTATTAGATTTTAAATCAAGTTTTATCTACCTGCATTTTATAGTACAATATCAAGTGTACTATTACACTTACTATTACTATTATTTCTCCTAAATAGAAAGCCTGTTGAGTTTGCTGGATTTACTACCACTAAATGTGTTCAGAATCTCACCCTTTTGCCTATCCTGTTTCTAAATCTCTTGCATTTAAAAATATTTAAATCTCTCAAACACTATTAGAATGATATGTGATTATGGAAGGGATCCCTTGTCTTTTCATCTACAGGTGGTAACCTTGTTAAATTCCAGCCACAGCACTGACATAGGTTTCTCTGCTTGCGAGTCCCTTGTCCTCAATGCTGACAGAGATGGCAGTAGAGGACATGACCAGAAAAAGTGCTTCAGTAAACAGCCCAGCCTGTTATTTCCTCTAGGAGATCGTTCGGCTTTAACAGAGAAAGGTTGTTGAGAACTGAATTAACCTGTTGGTCCCAAATAGAAGCAAAGGGAGGCTGTACCACTAGGGCCTTCTCATTTTTCTTTTGTCCAGAAATGTGCTCATATGAACATTCATTCCCAACCCAATTTCCATATTAGAGTTGTGATATACCGCTGAACACTTGTGCAATGATTAGAGCAATGGAATATCACAAAGGGCTAGAATTGCTTGTCTTTTCCTGCCAGGGCAGATTTCAAGTGAGATTTCTAGTTTGCCGAGTGTTACATTCCGAGTCTCCACAGATGGGAGAGCTGAAAGAACACTTTTTAAAAAGTCTTTGCTTGCCAGGGATTTCAAGGAAAAATGTGTCATATTTCTCTCTCCAGCCTGGAGATTTTTATGCATATGTTGCCAAGTACAAAAAGAAAAAAAAAGGCCATATTTAATAAAGAATCTTATTTCTGCTGACAAAAGGATAAACATAAGCAACTGTACTTACACAGTCAGTCCAGTGCCAGATTCTATTTATAATAAACCCCATCCCAGTTTTAATTCCATTAAAGTAGTAATCATCTCTGCCAATTTGGATTGAATATTCATTCTTCATGACACATACCTCTTTAATAAAACAAAAAAAAGTACAGGCATTTATTTCAGTCTTCATGTGTGAAACCATAACATATTGGTTAAAACTGTAAATAGCATGTTTTTCATCAAGTTCAAGTATGTTAAAATTATTACACCCTACTGTGTTTGTGCCACTGAGTTGAGACAGATGGTAACTGGGAAAAATGCAGTCTTATAATCAAAAGCAAAAATATGTCAAAAATATGTTAGCAAGCAAAACACAGCATATTACTTGCTTCTTATGTCATGACAGCTTGCAAAACATACAAGAGTGTTGAATATCTAGTTATGCAAATATAGCAATATAGTAAACAGCGACAGAAAATGCGAAGACACGGTTCTATATTGTATATTGTTTAAGTTTTCCATTCAGGGAAGGAACAAAAATTCCTTGGTCTTACTCAACTTCTGATTTGAAGAGCAAATGCCTCAACTGACTTTCTTTTCTCATTAGTTGCCAATTTTTGACGCTGCCCTAAAAAGCTGTTTAAATAGATTATAAAAGACATTCAAACTTCCCAATGAGATTTGAGTTTTCCATAGCGGCTCATCAGAGTATTTACTCTGATCGGGGTCTCGTCTTACTGAAAAAGGAGAAAAAAGGATAGAGATTCTGTATGAATACATTGGGTATCTAATATATAGTCCTTCCCAGTGGGTCACCCAAGCTAAAGCAAGCCACAATAAAGAGAAATGGATCATCACATCACAGCAGAGAGGAGACAAAGGGAAATGGAAGACATGCATGACAGGATTCAAGCAGGTCACAACCACCTTTATTGGGAATACTCAGGGAAAATATAAGGCAGGAAACACTGCCTTAACCCCCAACAATTTTGAGGAAGGATAGTTCCAAAACTGGGAAACCTCTAGATGGCAGCAGAAAGATGCAGAAAATGCCAACTATTTGCCATCATCTATTGGTTTATAATGAAAGATTGGTAGAATATGTGTCACAACAGCCAAATTGGGATATAGCTGTCAATTGATTGTCAGATGTACAAGCCTCCTCGGAGCTTCTGAAGAGGAATATGTAAGCTCCTGCAGTTATGCATTCGTTGTCTAGACTGAAAGGATAAGCTGCTCCAATTATGAAAAAAAAATCTCCTTAAACCACAGCTAATTGTAATGCTGGAAAAACAAACATGAAAACATTCAACCATACAATCTAGAACCACAATACAATTCCTTCCCAACTCTGTCAAATAGCAGTAGGATATCCCCAGTGGGTCAGCCGTATTAATCTTTTGCAGCAAAATCAACCAAGAGCCTTGTGGCACTTTAAAGATGGTGCCATAATAAATTTATTGGTCTTTAAGGTGCCATAAAACTCCTTGCTATTTAAGAGTAAGACCAGGTGAGATCAGGCGGGGCTTTATTAGATAATAGCTATAGCTAGATAGTAAAGATAAATAGTTGGAAAAGACAAGTATCTAATGCAGGCTGGAATTGAGCTGTAATTCTGATATGGCAAACACACCTATCTTTTATTCTTACTCATTTAAACACTGTCCTTCAGAAAGAAGAAAGAGCTGTTCTTTATATGCCAAGATACCCCCTCTATTTATAACAAAATTAACAATTAATTCATCCCTTGATTGAATCTTTCGTTATTTAGATGTCACAACAGATTTTCATAGCCCGCAAAGGGGAAGCCTTAGCAATGTTAATATTGTGACAGGCAAGACACATAAAAGCAAATGAATCATAATTGGTGACAATTAGAAATAACTTGGTATGAAAACAGAATATTCGTTGCCACAGTGAGCGAGCAGAGTGCCTTGGGTAATAGAAATGATTTCATAAGAAGCTCCTGGCTGCATGGACAGGACTATATCGTTACTTCTATCTAGTGCATTTCTTCATACACGATAGATCAATTGACAATCAAAGGGCCGTTTTGTAATTCTGTAAAATGAAATGTTCTCTTTGCAAAGTTTCACTTTCCTTTGCAATGTGCCCCTAGAGTTGAAGGCAAGGACAGAGTCAGGTATTTTATTTTATTTTATTTTTTCCATCCCTAAAGGACATAATATCATTTCTAAACATGATCTAAAGCTTCAATTGAACTGAAATTTGAATAATACTCAATTTATATAGGCTAACAATGTCACCAAGGAAAAATATTTCCAACAGGGCAACAAATTTAGTCAATTTCAGATCACAAAGCTCAATTCTCTCTCTGTCTCTCTCTCTGTCTCTCTGTCTCTGTCTCTGTCTCTGTCTCTGTCTCTGTGTCTCTCTCTCTCTCTCTCTCTCTCTCTCTCTCTCTCTCTCTCTCTCTCTCTCTCTCTCTGTGTGTGTGTGTGTGTGTGTGTGTGTGTGTATTCCTGAGCCCAAGCCTTTATTCATTTCAGTATATCTGCATAATTTTATTCCATCTGAAATAGTTGGATAATCAAGGAATAGGTGCAAAATTACTACATAGTTTGAGCTCAAATGTTGAGCAAATTCAAAACTTTATAGCAAAAGGTTTGAAGTTCACTGTGCTGAATTCCCAGATAAGTTTGCCTAAGATCAATTAAATCTATTTGGCACTGCCTTAAAATAATCATTACACAGCAACACAAGTAAATGAAAAAATACAGGTGTCCATTTATGTGTTTCACAGAATCAAGATTTCAGCCTTATATCCTAACACATAATAGTAATCAAATGATTCCTTTTCATAGCAATTTTTCATTTGTCCAGAATGCTTCTGGTCTCATTTGCTATGATCTGCAATCTCCTACATCTCAAGTTTTGCTCAATATGAATTTTAATCAAAGAAATATAGTAATTATTCAGTTACTGCAAAGAACTCTGTTGCATAGGATACATTTTTACAGGATTTTAAAATATAATTTATGAATATTTGCAAGCCTAATAATTGTCTTTTCTGCTGACATTTTCAAAGCAACACTGATTGTTGCATCTCCAGAGAGTCTGAGTACAAAACTGATAATTATATTAAATATACATAGACAATAAAGAGTGTGTTTACATAACTATGCCCATAAATATCTGATTGAACAGTCATTGTTCTCAAACCCCTTTTAAGCAGCTCTCGGAGGAATCCAATTCTAATGACATGATGGTTTAAAAGATGTTGCTCAGTCTTGTTCCATATTTAATTAACTTTCCTTTTTTAAACTTGTGATGGTGGAGACAATAACAAATAGCTCTAAAAAAAAGAGAGTGTGTGCTTTGAAACATGAGTGAGAACTTGTCATGCTTTGTATGCCTCATGCTACAGGAAATTTGCATGTAAGAGTGGGTGGCACAGAACCATGAATTCCATGGGGAGTCCATTACACAGGCATAGTAATCAGCATTATCTTTAAACCATCTTTGATGCAAAAGAAAAGAGAGTGACATGCAAAACAAAATACACTAAAACAAAACAGCACAATTTAAGAAACAGTAAATATAAAATAAGAAACCAAGTAGCATGATTCCCTTCCAGCCATGCCTACTAGAATCAAGAAGTAACATGTGATATAATTTAACCACAATTAATATTAAGGATTGCCTCATGTACTACTCGTTACAATAACCAACTAGAAAGTTATCACAGTATATCTCATTATGAATAGGCTGTTCTTAGCCAAGTAAACCAGTCAAAACTGAAAAGAGACATCCCTATTTAGTTTGGTTAAATCACAAGTGAGA